CAGTTAGTGAGTCATTTAGCAGACGCTCTTATCCAGAGCAACTTACAGTTAGTGAGTCATTTAGCAGACGCTCTTATCCAGAGCAACTTACAGTTAGTGAGTCATTTAGCAGACGCTCTTATCCAGAGCAACATACAGTTAGTGAGTCATTTAGCAGACGCTCTTATCCAGAGCAACTTACAGTTAGTGAGTCATTTAGCAGACGCTCTTATCCAGAGCAAACTTACAGTTAGTGAGTCATTTAGCAGACGCTCTTATCCAGAGCAACTTACAGTTAGTGAGTCATTTAGCAGACGCTCTTATCCAGAGCAACTTACAGTTAGTGAGTCATTTAGCAGACGCTCTTATCCAGAGCAACTTACAGTTAGTGAGTCATTTAGCAGACGCTCTATCCAGAGCAACTTACAGTTAGTGGAGTTCATTTAGCAGACGCTCTTATCCAGAGCAACTTACAGTTAGTGAGTCATTTAGCAGACGCTCTTATCCAGAGCAACTTACAGTTAGTGAGTCATTTAGCAGACGCTCTTATCCAGAGCAACTTACAGTTAGTGGAGTCATTTAGCAGCGCTCTTATCCAGAGCAACTTACAGTTAGTGAGTCATTTAGCAGACGCTCTTATCCAGAGCAAACTTACAGTTAGTGAGTCATTTAGCAGACGCTCTTATCCAGAGCAACTTACAGTTAGTGAGTCATTTAGCAGACGCTCTTATCCAGAGCAACTTACAGTTTAGTGAGTCATTTAGCAGACGCTCTTATCCAGAGCAACTTACAGTTAGTGAGTCATTTAGCAGACGCTCTTATCCAGAGCAACTTACGTTAGTGAGTCATTTAGCAGACGCTCTTATCCAGAGCAACTTACAAGTTAGTGAGTCATTTAGCAGACGCTCTTATCCAGAGCAACTTACAGTTAGTGAGTCATTTAGCAGACGCTCTTATCCAGAGCAACTTACAGTTAGTGAGTCATTTAGCAGACGCTCTTATCCAGAGCAACATACAGTTAGTGAGTCATTTAGCAGACGCTCTTATCCAGAGCAACTTACAGTTAGTGAGTCATTTAGCAGACGCTCTTATCCAGAGCAACTTACAGTTAGTGAGTCATTTAGCAGACGCTCTTATCCAGAGCAACTTACAGTTAGTGAGTCATTTAGCAGACGCTCTTATCCAGAGCAACTTACAGTTAGTGAGTCATTTAGCAGACGCTCTTATCCAGAGCAACTTACAGTTAGTGAGTCATTTAGCAGACGCTCTTATCCAGAGCAACTTACAGTTAGTGAGTTCATACAGTGAGGGAAAAAAGTATTTGATCCCCTGCTGATTTTGTACGTTTGCCCACTGACAAAGAAATGATCAGTCTATAATTTTAATGGTAGGTTTATTTGAACAGTGAGAGACAGAATAACAACAAAAAAATCCAGAAAAACGCATGTCAAAAATGTTATAAATTGATTTGCATTTTAATGAGGGAAATAAGTATTTGACCCCCTCTCAATCAGAAAGATTTCTGGCTCCCAGGTGTCTTTTATACAGGTAACGAGCTGAGATTAGGAGCACACTCTTAAAGGGAGTGCTCCTAATCTCAGTTTGTTACCTGTATTTTTTTTTTTTATTTTACCTTTATTTAACTAGGCAAGTCAGTTAAGAACACATTCTTATTTACAATGACGGCCTACACCGGCCAAACCCGGAAGACGCTGGGCCAATTGTGTATAAAAGACACCTGTCCACAGAAGCAATCACTCAATCAGATTCCAAACTCTCCACTATGGCCAAGACCAAAGAGCTCTCCAAGGATGTCAGGGACAAGATTGTAGACCTACACAAGGCTGGAATGGGCTACAATAATAATAATACGCCATTTAGCAGACGCTTTTATCCAAAGCAACTTACAGTCATGCGTGCATACATTTTTTTTTGTGTATGGGTGGTCCCGGGGATCGAACCCACTACCTTGGCGTTACAAGTGCCTTGCTCTACCAGCTGAGCTACAGAGGACCACAGACCATCACCAAGCAGCTTGGTGAGAAGGTGACAACAGTTGGTGCGATTATTCGCAAATGAAAGAAACACAAAATAACTGTCAATCTCCCTCGGCCTGGGGCTCCATGCAAGTGCTCACCTCGTGGAGTTGCAATGATCATCAGCCCAGAACTACACGGGAGGATCTTGTCAATGATCTCAAGGCAGCTGGGACCATAGTCACCAAGAAAACTATTGGTAACACACTACGCCGTGAAGGACTGAAATCCTGCAGCGCCCGCAAGATGGACGGGGCCATGTACCGTCAAATCTTGGGTGAGAACCTCCTTCCCTTAGCCAGGGCATTGAATATGGGTCGTGGATGGGTATTCCAGCATGACAATGACCCAAAACACACGGCCAAGGCAACAAAGGAGTGGCTCAAGAAGAAGCACATTAAGGTCCTGGAGTGGCCTAGCCAGTCTCCAGACCTTAATCCCATAGAAAATCTGTGGAGGGAGCTGAAGGTTCGAGTTGCCAAACGTCAGCCTCGAAACCTTAATGACTTGGAGAAGATCTGCAAAGAGGAGTGGGACAAAATCCCTCCTGAGATGTGTGCAAACCTGGTGGCCAACTACAAGAAACGTCTGACCTCTATGATTGCCAACAAGGGTTTGCCACCAATTACTAAGTCAAGTTTTGCAGAGGGGTCAAATACTTATTGGTCCTCTGTAGCTCAGTTGGTAGAGCACGGGGCTTGTAACGCCAAGGTAGTGGGTTCGATCCCCGGGACCACCCATACACAAAAATGTATGCACGCATGACTGTAAGTTGCTTTAGATAAAAGTGTCTGCTAAATGGCATATTATTACTTATTTCCCTCATTAAAATGCAAATCAATTTATAACATTTTTGACATGCGTTTTTCTGGATTTTTTTGTTGTTATTCTGTATCTCACTGTTCAAATAAACCTACCATTAAAATTATAGACTGATCATGTCTTTGTCAGTGGGCAAATGTACAAAATCAGCAGGGGATCAAATACTTTTTTCCCTCACTGTAACTTTAAGGTAATACCGACATCATATTTTAAGGAGTGGTAATAAGGTAACAAATGAATGTTTGCAATTGAGAATCAGCTGGCGATAATCTAGTGCCATCGGTGGTTGCAATAGGCCCCTTGTTATTTGATTATATTCCAACAGGCTACATTCTGTAGGCTACCCGTTAGCCTATCCACTGTGACGTCATGAAAGGTGCGAAAACCCATAATAGGCTACAGGTGTATCCCTGGCTGAGTTGATCAGCTGATTGGACCATCAGTTGATTGACAGATGTAGGCCTGCTGTAGAACGATAAACGTTCCTCCAGTGTGGATGCTCGTCCACGTTTTTATAGTTAGGCTATGTATAATTTTTTGAATATAGTTCTGGTCTTTGGTGTAGATTGAAAGCCTGTGTTGTGTGGTTTTAATATTTCATTTCGTAAAGATGTCAGGATGTTTATGCATTTGAGCCTATCCAAAGGCGATTTTGTTGAGCTGAAACACTGTTCTTTGATGTGTAAATTATCAGAGTATTCGTTTTACTTCTTGAAAACATTTAAATGAATGCAATTCACTTGTGGGCCTAATGTGTGCTCAGGATGGTCACTAAATCGCCCAGCACTAAGGCTTGGAGCGTGCTGCTTAGACCACTGCACTACGGCAGTTCACAACTCTCATAGCGAGCACTAAGAATACTATGAATACTGATAATAAATAGGTGCATCGTTTTTAATAATTTAATTTGAAGCCTTCCGCAAACCATAGCCCTAAGCTTAACCACTCGGAATGAATACCTAAACTGTTAACCTTTTGAGTTGTTTCTGTTTTAACCCTGTAAGCACGCGGAATTAACCCTGTAACCACGTGGAATTAACCCTGTAACTACTCGGAATTAATGCGTCAAAAATAGATGTTCATCCATGAGTCAAAGGGCAGTGGGCCAGACTCGAACCCATGCCAACTCTGGCATATGTGTGCCGTGGTCAGTGGCTGTAACCGCAACACCACACAGGTACTGAGGAAACCAATATTCAGTGGTGCAAAAAGTACCCAAAAGTAAAAAAAAAAAAAAAACATTAATAGAAAATGACTCAAGCGAAAGTCACCCAGTAAAATAGTACTTGTGTCACACCCTGACCTGGAGAGACTGTTATTCTCTAGGTAGTTTGGTCAGGGTGTGAAACTCTAGGTTGTGTATTTCTATGTTTGGCCGGGTGTGGTTCCCAATCAGAGGCAGCTGTCGCTCGTTGTCTCTGATTGGGGATCATACTTAGGTAGCCAGTTTTCCTGCCTGGGTTGTGGGATCTTGGTTGTGTTCCTGTTAGGCTTGTTTCGTGCATAGCCCGTAGCCCGTAGCCCGTAGCCCGTAGCCCGTAGCCCGTAGCCCGTAGCCCGTAGCCCGTAGCCCGTAGCCCGTAGCCCGTAGCCCGTAGCCCGTAGCCCGTAGCCCGTAGCCCGTAGCCCGTAGCCCGTAGCCCGTAGCCCGTAGGACTTCACGGTTTCGTTGAGTTTGTTATTTTGTCTAGTGTTTATCCAGTTTAATAAACATGTTCGCATACCACGCTGCACCTTGGTCTCTCAACGATCGTGACAACTTGTAAAAGTCTAAAAGTATTTGGTTTCAAATGTACTTAAGTATCAAAAGTAAAAGTATAAATCATTTCAAATTCCTTATATTAAGCAAAACAGATGGCACAATTTTCTTGTTTTTTAAATTTACGGATAGCCAGGGGCACAATCCAACACTCAGACACGCTACGACCTGCTACGAAAGGGATCAATTTAAGATCCGACATCTGTAAGTGTAACGTAATTAAGAACGTACCATAAACTCACCACAGTAACAAACGTGTGATTCCCTCACCACAGTAACTAACATGTGATTCCCTCACCACAGTAACTAACGTGTGTATCCCTCACCACAGTAACAAACGTCCTGATTCCCTCACCACAATAAGAAACGTGTGACGTTGGTCAGAAACACCAGAACCGCTCTGAATGCCTGATAGGAAAGAGTTCTGCTCCACAGATATCCAGCTAACACTCCAGTTCACCAGGCGCCCTAGCATGGTCCCAGGTCTGTTTGTGCTGTCACTTGACTTACATTGGCTGAGGCCCTTGGCTCCTACAAGGAGCATAGGCCACGGACGAATGTCCTCCATCTCACTCAGTTCGGACAAGTTTTTCTGATCACTTTTGTGCTGTCACGGCCATGACAATGACCACAGGGATTGGCAAGACAGCACAAAACAGATCTGGGACCAGGCTACGTGCACCCACCCTCTTTACAGGAATAACAACAACCAAGCCATCCAGATCAGACCGGTACAGTGCTCTTAAATGGCCTGGAACAAGCTCTGTGTACCTATGATGCTGGTCTGAAGGAGAGTTCAGTTGGGACATTCTATTGTGCTCCTTAGTTGGTCCATTAGAAGGTTTTACCAGGTCCATTAGAAGGTTTTACCAGGTCCATTAGAAGGTTTTACCAGGTCCATTAGAAGGTTTTACCAGGTCCATTAGAAGGTTTTACCAGGTCCATTAGAAGGTTTTACCAGGTCCATTAGAAGGGTTTACCAGGTCCACTAGAAGACATTATATTTATTATTACCACTGCACTCGCTGGAGTGTAGAGATTCCGCACATAAATCCTGTGGTTTCTGTTTTTCAGAGCCTCTCTGTGAGCCTCTCTGTGGGATAATGTATGACATTCCCTGTTCAATCTGGAAGTAATTGTGAAATGTCAGGAATGAGAACATTCCGGGGGTGAACACAAAATGCCTTTCCTGTTCCTCTGTTCATTTCTCTGTATGGTGATTGTAAATCCCTGCCCTCCCGACGTGAAGGGTCTATGGTCCTATCCCCATACTCTGTTTGGTCCTATCCCCATACTCTGTTTGGTCCTATCCCCATACTCTGTTTGGTCCTATCCCCATACTCTGTTTGGTCCTATCCCCATACTCTGTTTGGTCCTATCCCCATACTCTGTTTGGTCCTATCCCCATACTCTGTTTGGTCCTATCCCCATACTCTGTTTGGTCCTATCCCCATACTCTGTTTGGTCCTATCCCCATACTCTGTTTGGTCCTATCCCCATACTCTGTTTGGTGATGCTAAATTCCTTCCTGCCCTCTAGGGATGGTTTGGTCGGACGTGAAGCGTCTATGGTATGAGGGCTTGGAGGACTTCCTGGATGAGTCGAGGAATCAGCTGAGCTTCGTCATGAACTCTCTCTACCTGTCCACCTTCGCCCTCAAGATAGTGGCCCACAGCAAGGTGTGCGCGTATGTGTGTGTCTGTGTGTGTATGTGTGTGTGTGTGTGTGTGTGTGTATGTGTGTCTGTGTATGTGTGTCTATGTGTGTATTTGCGCTTGTGTGTGCGTCTCTGTGTGTGTGTGTGTGTGTGTGTGTGTGTGTGTGTGTGTGTGTGTGTGTGTTAACGTGATCTCCTCTGCCAGTTTGAGAACGTGGAGGACACAGAGAGGAAGAAGTGGGATGCCTTCCACCCCATCCTGGTGGCTGAGGGGCTGTTTGCCTTCGCTAACGTCCTGAGTTACCTGCGGCTGTTCTTCATGTACACCACCAGCTCCATACTGGGTCCACTGCAGGTACACACACACACACACACACACACACACACACACACACACACACACACACACACACACACACACACACACACACACACACACACACACACACACACACACACACACACCAGGCAGCACTAGCAACAGAAGGAGCACCACCACCATCATCATCATCATAATTCTGTCATCACCTCACATGGAAACTATTTCCCTGGTGAACGTCCTAATTGATACAAAGCAAGGCTTGGTGGCAACACCAGAATGTAAACTCTTCCAGACCTCCTCTCTGTCTTGTGATTGTATCTCCGTCCTCAACACTGGGGCCAAAAGTCTGTTTTGAATTTGGGGTAGAATCAGGGGTTCCTGATAGAAACAGCAGAGGTGTAGTCCCCCTGTAGCTCAGTTGGTAGAGCATGGCGCTTGCAACGCCAGGGTTGTGGGTTTCGATTCCCATGAGGGGCCAGTATGAAAAATGTATGCACTCACTAACTGTAAGTCGCTCGGGATAAGAGCGTCTGCTAAATGAAGTAAATGTGTAGATTAGGTGTCTTTTTTTATTTCATAAGAGAAACCTTCAACCTGTCCCTCACTGTCTCAGCCTGCCAGCTAGGATCAAAGTCTATTTCCTATTTTGCTCTGTCTAGCTGTCTAGCTGTCTATGAATGAGTGGACCTTTTCCTATTTCCTGTTATTATGTGAAATGGTTGTTTGTGTTTTTTTTCTATTCAACAGCAGGACTTTCCTGTTGATTGTCAAGGGATAGTACTTCTCATACCAGTAGTCTATCTTACTTCTCTCTCTCTCTCTCTCTCTCTCTCTCTCTCTCTCTCCTCTCTTCTCTCTATCTTTATCTCTCTCTCTCTCAGATCGCAACTCTTTCAGATCTCTCCTCTCTCTCTCTCTCTCTCTCTCTCTCTCTCTCTCTCTCTCTCTCTCTCTCTCTCTCTCTCTCTCTCTCTCTCTCTCTCTCTCTCTCTCTCTCTCTCTCTCTCAGATCTCTCTCTCTCTCTCTATGCGCCCAAGCTGAACTGTGACATCACTGCCTGGCATGGGCAGATCGAAAAGTTATTAGCTTGGGAAAGAGGTGGCTTTGTGTACCTTTATGGCTGACACAGCCCTCAATCAATCTCTCACACAAATATAAACAAACGTGCCACGTGAACAACCACCTACATTACAGTTTTTCTCAATTGCTAAAACACTAAACCCTATTGTCTGAACCAAATGCTCAGTTGCCTGAACCCACTGATTGAATCAATCACTCTTTTGGCAAAACCATAAGCACTTTTCACCTGTTTAGACATAACTTGCCAACACATTTTCATTGTGATGCACCCGTGCTGCATAATGGTGAGCACAGGTGACAAAAGTCAAACACAATTAGAGCACAGGTGTCACCACTTGAACACAACAACTCAAAATTGATCACACTTGTGGCTAATGATGTGAGGGAACATATACAGTAAGCCAGTTCAGAGAGCACTGGTTTGTGAGGCCCTACAATGGATAGAAATCTGAGAGGAAGAGTTCGTGTGAGAGGAGGTCGAGGTGGTCAGCGAAGACAAAGAACAGTAATATCTGATGAAATCAGAGCTACTGTGATTGACCATGTTCTTGTCCATGGTATGAGCATGAGGGAGGCTGGACAAAGGGTACAACCAAACATCAGTAGATTCACTGTGTCCACCATAATCCGAAGATTTAGAGAAGAGAACAGGTAATTACCTTTTTTTGACATTATAGTACAGTATGTAAATGTTGACAGCAATTACTGTATGACATACTATATACTGTACCACAGTATACTGTAAGTAAATATATTTTTCAGTACATCACTGTACCAATATACTGTAGTATTGTAATGGAGGGTTGGTCTAACTGTTTGTAGGCCTAGTATTCCATGTATATTTTTTGTAACTCCATGTTCTCTTTTTGTAGAATTGAAAGACTGCCACATGGGGGTGGGACGACAGGTATGTTCTCCCCACACCAAGAGACCCTAATTGTTGATATGGTCCGTGAGAACAATGCCATTAAACTGAGCGAAATTCAGCAGAAGATCATTGAGGACCATTTAAATTTTGAGGGTATCAACAGTGTCAGCCTCTCTACTGTTGATCGTGTCCTCAAGCGCAACAGACTGCGCATGAAACAGCTATACAGAGTGCCCTTTGATCACAACTCAGACAGAGTCAAAGAGCAAAGATTCCAGTATGTACAGGTTGGCATATATCCAGACACATTCAATGTTGATTACTCTAAGTAGTGATTTACTGTAGTGGCCTAAATCACTTTTTCCGTATCACTTACAAAACAATATCTATTTCTACAGAGGGTTTTTCAACTGGATGCAATGGAAAGACCCCATCAATACATCTACATGGATGAAGCTGGGCTTAATCTCACCAAAAGGAGAAGGAGAGGCCGTAATGTGATTGGCTATCGGGCCATTGTTGGTGTTCCTGGGCAGTGTGGTGGCAATGTCACATTATGTGCTGCCATCAGCAATCATGGGGTTGTCCACCATCATGCCAACCTGGGGCCCTACAACACTCACCAGCTCCTCATTTTCCTCAATCACATGCGAGATGCTTTGTTAGGGCAGCAGGATGAGCATCCCATCTATGTTGTTGTTTGGGACAATGTGAGTTTTCACAGAGCCCTCCAGGTTAGAGAGTGGTACAATATGAACCAAGGTTTTATCAATCTTTGCCTTCCACCGTACTCCCCTTTCCTAAACCCCATTGAGGAATTCTTCTCCTCATGGCGGTGGAAGGTATATGAATGCCAACCTTACACCAGGGTAAATCTCCTGCAAGCCATGGGACTTGCCTGTGGTGACATAGGTGTGGAGGCATGCCAAGCCTGGATACGGCATGCCAGGGGTTTTTTCCCCCGTTGCCTGGCCAGAGAAAATGTGGCCTGTGATGTGGATGAAGTCCTGTGGCCTGACCCAGTACGGAGACATGATGCTGTGGCTGAGTAATGCACTTATTTGTATATTTTTGTACTTTATTTTTACATGGGCTTACTGTACACAAGTGGCAAACGCATAAGATTTATGTTTGTTTTTACAAGTGCTACATGTAAATGCACAAGATTTCTGTTTTGTCTTTTTGTACAAGTGCTAAATGCACAGGTTTTTTTTTGTTTTGCAACATGCATTTAGCCTACAGTGAACAATAAACATTTATTTCTCCAGCTTCATGTCCTGAGCATTGTGTTTTCTATTTTTCTACGTAGTGTTTAGTGACTGTTCAGTAGTGTTTTTAATTTTGATTGACTCGGGGCACGATTTGAAAACACAGTTCAGTTTTGAGCACAGATTGAACTGTTTTGAGGTGAATGTTTGGTTTTGCAAGAAGAGTCTGAGGTTTTGTGAATGTAGCTTGAAAATTGGGTTTTGTGTTCACAGTTAAGAGAAAAGGAGAGCAGCTTTCAAGAAATGTGTCTTAGCAATCGAGAAAAACTGTAACATATGAGCACACACATTCTGTATGTACAAATACTTTCTGTATTTCTCTTTCTCTTTCTCTCTCTCACACACACACACACACACACACACACACACACACATCTATGCAGAAGCATTGAGTAGTGTGGTTATAGTGTGGTTTGGAGTATTGACTGATGGTGTAGTGTGGTTATAGTGTGGTTAGGAGTATTGACTGATGGTGTAGTGTGGTTATAGTGTGGTTAGGAGTATTGACTGATGGTGTAGTGTGCAGTGGTGTAAAGTACTTAAGTAAAAATACTTTAAAGTACTACTTAAGTAGTTTTTTGGGGTATCTGTACTTTACTATACTATATTTGACAACTTTTACTTTTACTTCACTACATTCCTTAAGAAAATATTGTATGTTTTACTCCATACATTTTCCTCCTTAAGAAGATATTGTACTTTTTACCCCATACATTTTCCCTGACAACAAAAAGTACTTGTTACATTTTGAATGCTTAGCAGCACAGGATAATGGTCCAATTCACACACTTATCAACAGAACACTTACCCTGGTCATCCCTACTGCCGCTGATCTGGCGGACTCATTAAACACACATGCTTCGTTTGGGGGGGGCAGAGGAGGCTGGTGGGAGGAGCTATAGGAGGATGGTTCATTGTAAAGACTATAATGGAATAAATGGAACGGTACCAAACACATCAAATATGGAGACCACGTGTTTCACTACGTTCCATTAATTCCATTCCAGTCATTACAATGATCCCGTCCTCCTATAGCTCCTCCCACCAGAAACCTCTGGTGTAGGTGTGTTTTGAAAGGTGTGAGTGTCCACCCCTCCTCTCCTGTGTCAGTACCCCCTAGTCCAGGTTAAGAGCTCCTGACCCCCTACATTCCTGATCTGTTTGTACAGTAAGTTTGAGGCTAGCTGAAAGCCGGGCAGACCATGCTGAAACCAGGCATACCAGGCTGAGACCAGGCTGAGACCAGGCAGACCATGCTGAAACCAGGCAGACCATGCTGAGACCAGGTTGAAAAACCAGGCAGACCATGCTGAGACCAGGCATACCAGGCTGAGACCAGGCTGAGACCAGGCAGACCATGCTGAGACCAAGCATACCATGCTGAGACCAGGCAGACCAGGCTGAGACCAGGCTGAAACCAGGCAGACCAGGCTGAGACCAGGCAGACCATGCTGAAACCAGGCAGACCATGCTGAAACCAGGCAGACCATGCTGAGACCAGGCTGAAATCAGGCAGACCATGCTGAGACCAGGCTGAAATCAGGCAGACCATGCTGAAACCAGGCAGACCATGCTGAGACCAGGCTGAAATCAGGCAGACCATGCTGAAACCAGGCTGAAATCAGGCAGACCATGCTGAAACCAGGCTGAAACCAGGCAGACCACGCTGAGACCAGGCTGAAACCAGGCAGACCATGCTAAGACCAGGCTGAAATCAGGCAGACCATGCTGAGACCAGGCTGAAACCAGGCAGGACCATGCTGAAACCAGGCGGGACCATGCGTGAAACCAGGCAGACCATGCTGGAGACCAGGCG